TTCTCTTTCTGAAAGATCAAGTAATCGAGAAGAAATGGAGCCTGTTTATATGAATTCTTGCTTTCTCCCTTTCTGGCCCCACCCTCCAAGTTCTAATGGCATTTTTTTCTCTCCCCTCCTCCGATGTTTTTATTTTGACACCCAACCAGCAAACCTCCACACCCATATGGGAACACATCAGAGGTTCATGATGCAAAAGAAGAGAAGAACTTTCGAGAGGGAATTTGGAAAGATTCCTGGACTACAATGTGGTGATTTAGACCACATGTGCTGACTATGCACCAATCACAGGCCTGGGCTTGAGATGGAGCTGTTCTAATCGCTCTCTGCCTCTTGTCACCTGACCTGACATGCTGCGATGACTCCCATTTCCTCATTTTCAACCAAATCTACTGCTACTCATTCTGTATGCTCAAAACCAGAGTCTTCCTTTTCTCTTACTTCATCAGAACAAGAAACTCCTGATTCTCTTGAACTTTCTGTCCTTGGAATGACTGAACAAGGAACCTGGGGGAGACAAGATCTGTAACCACACGGTACTGTGCCAAGCCTGATTCAAAAGGAAAATCGCTAGTATGAGTCTATGTTTATTTGAATGTTGATAATATGAAGGCCATGGGTTTGATCCGGGGAGAGAGACAGAGACAGAGACAGAGACAGGACAGAGACAGAGACACAGACAGAGAATGAATTGATTTTGTTCATCATGGAGTTTTTGACATATTTATTTAGTTATTGAGACAGGGTTTCATGCATCCCAGGCTGGCCTCAAACTCCCTATATACCTCTATATACCTGCTCCACTTTCCAAGAGCTAGGATTACTGACATATGCCACCACATCCAGTTTATTCAGTGATAAGTGTCAACCCCACGGCTTTGTGCATGTTAGGCAAGTAATCTACTTGTGCATATTAAACAAGTACCCCCAAAATTGAGTTATATCCCCAGTCATGTGCCAGGGCTCAAGTGTGGAAATCAGAGGACAATTTGCAGGAGTCCCTTCTCTCCTTCTACCATATGGGTCCCAGGAAATGAACTCAGGTCACCAGGCTTGGTGGCAGTTACCTTTATCCCTGAGCCATCTCACTAGTCCTTATATATATATATATATATATA